ACATCATCATGAAACCCAAAAGGATCTCCCAGGTTTTAAATTTGGCACAAGTCCTGTTGTGCCTGCAAAGGAAGGAAGTGATTTACCCCTCAAGCTGGCACTTGGATCATCTGTAGGCATTTACTTTTTGCTGGGTTGGGGATACTTGAGTTTTTGTTGCCGTTCTATAGCTACTCCAAGCATTATAAGAGAGCACAAAATAAACTGCCTAAAAATAACTGCCAGGGAATTATTAGTTGGAAGTTGAGGCAGGAGCCAGCTGCCTGAAAGCAAAGCCTGTCTGGGGGTTTTTGGGGGCCCAGAGGTACCACTGCACTGTCTCACTCCTCTTTCAAAGTCCAGTATTCCATCAAGCACCTACAACATCCAATCCATCCCCAAAGGAAAGATAATTTTAATTCCAATCCATGCAAGATTCCATGTGACAGCTCCTGTAAGATGCAGAATATGGGATTGAAATGAAAATGCAAAATCAAGGTTTGTACTGTGTAGCCCAGTGCAGAGCAGTCCTGCTTAGCTGGGTGACTTTTTGCCAAAGAGCATTGCTGTTAAATAATATTAACTACTAAATACACTGAAATAGGCTGTTCCAAGAAGCTGGATGAGGGTCTTTCTCTCCTTGCCTCAGTTTCCCACTTGTCTTAGCACAAGTTATGTTCCTTGTTATCCATCAGAGGCTGCCAAGCACATTTCCAGGAATGGGACTTCTCTAACACGTCCCTAGACTTGATTCTGCAGAGGACAGAATGACAAATAATTTTATTTACCCACCAAAATTCACTCACTAGGTAAAATAAAATCAAAAGCAGCCAAGAAGGGAGGAAGGAGAAAGGAAATCAAAAGCCAGGTATGCTAAAACCCAACTGCTGGCTGACTGCACATCAGGGGAGGGGAAAATGTGCCACGAGCTGTTAGTTATAAAGATAATTATATCCTTGATGAACAGCGGGGTCTTTTGGAAAATAGCTCTTCTTGATTGAATTAATGGAGGCAAACCACAGGCTTTAGACAGGCACTGGCAATGTCTGTACAGCCCTGACTTCACCCACCCTGAGTTCAAATAATCTCTGGCCGCGGCCACCAGCAAATCCCTGCTCACAAGCGTAAGAGCAGGGTGGAAAAAAGGAGGGAAGCCCACTGGATTCTGTGCACCCCGAATCCAGGGGCTGAAGGGAACCAGCCACATCCCTCCTGCCTTCCCAGGGAGGACTGTGGCGTCCAACACTGCCAAACCAACACCTTAATCCAACGTTAGAGCCAGGTTCAGAGTTATTTTTAAAACATCAACAAAGCACTGGATGCCACAGATGTTGGTGTGGTCTCAAAGGCAGGGAGAAAGGAGCAGCCACCACACTCCACACCTCAGGAATGTGCTAAAGGCAAATGTACCCTCCTTCCACCCCCGGGATTATTTTTTCCTTCAGCTATTTCAGTTGATTGAGGCTAAAATAAGAACAGGGAAAAGCAACACCAAGGTTAAAAGTGCCTGCCATTGGTTTGGAGACAACACACTGCGATCCTGCTGGTTCAGGTTTCAACGTGTGTTAAACACAGATTTTCTGCTACATGAGACAAGCAAACATTTTATTGAATTACCCTCAAGATAAAAAAAATCACTGCCTGGGCAATCTCACAGATTTCCCAAGAAGAAGCACATACTGAGTAAATATAAAAATCTGTTAGGGAGAAAACCAAAATAACCTCACTGTCACCTTGGTGCACCCACCACAGGCTACACACAGCAGCTTCACGAAACACTTTCAGCACAGAGTTTCCAGACTGAAATCTGCTGCTGGGCCACGTGAGCAGCCCAGGAATCACCAGAATCATTTGTTTTCCTTTTCAACAGAGACTCCTCAATGTGGTTTTCCTCCCTTCCAGCTGAAGAGCACACGGAGATTTTGCACCTCTCTGCAACTCCCCCACACACAGCGCTGCTGCTTTCCCTGCAAACTTTTCCTAAAGGATCCAGGGATGCCCAGGGGGGTCACCCTTGGCTGAAATTGGGGCATTTTCACCCAGCCTCCCCACTGGGGTGCTTCTCTGAAGTGTTCTGATGCGTTTTCACATCCCCAAAAGCTCACGTTGTAGAAGCACAGAGACAAGGGACTGAAACCACGAAGCAGCTTCATTAGTGGATTTGATGGTTAAAAGCAGCTCTGCAGGCAGCATAATGGCAGGCAGAGATGAAGATTCCCTGGTAATCACTCACCCACAGCAGGAACTGACCTGGCAAACCCCGGGCATGGCTGTATTTTAGAGGAGAAAAAGGCATTTAGCTATCTGAGTGAGCTGAAACGCTGCATTTCCCCTCTAATGGGATTTTAATGCTCCTCTCACTCCATCCCAGTGGGGTTTTGGTCCTTGCTTGGTGCAGGGTCTGTGCTGGGAGGGGCTCTGACCGCAACCACGGGTTTGGGGCCCAAACCTCCCCCCAAAAAATGACAGAGCCATTCCCTGCACCCAGTCAGGGAGGCAGAACAAAGTTTCCAGAGCAGAGCAGTAACTCCGGATTCCCACTCATGGCTTTCCAAGACCTCCCTCAACTCTGCCACAGCCCCAAGGTGGATTTCCAGCGCTGCGGAAAGGTGAGAGATGCCAAGCCCATCTTCAGGCATTATGAGGTCCCATTTCATTCCACCCAGGCCATGGCATTTGCACTACTCGCAGCCTCCCGGGTCAGCACCACCGGGAGGCTGCAGTGCCGGTGCTTCACGGCTCTCGAACTCAGCATCGCTCCAGGGTTAACAAACGCAACCCTGTTTCTCAAAGCCAAGAGGCTTCCTGAGCAGATCACACAGCCAGCCCACCAAACCCACCTGCCACTGGCTCCTGCAGGAAAACAACTGGCACCCATGGGAGCGGTGGAAGGAATTTTGTTGTCCCCATCCACACGCTTCTCTTTTGATGCATAGGAAGTTCCGAGTTCTCTCCATGCTCTCAAAGGAGGAGGAATGTTTTACTTTATTGGCAGGGATTTCTAAGAGGGCACTCTGTAAATATTGAGGAGGATTTTCTCAGAGAGGCAGCAGCCTTAAATTCGAGTTTAAAGGGAGCTTTAGCTTTTGCTAAAGGAGGCACTCAAACTGCAATCAGTGGCAGGCATTAACAAATGTGCTTTGGGCTGAGAGAAGACACAAAGCACTTTAATTCCCGTTTTCCAGGAGAGCTCATAAACAGTGCCCAGAAGTTTTGTTTTTAAGAAAGCACCATTTTCTGTAGGCTGCACAAACACAGTGCTGTACAGCACAGACAGAAGATGCAGGGAATCAAGAAGATATCAATGTTTTACTGACCTTATCTGCAATTGCCTCTTACCTCTCACAGTAATAGTTATCTACACCCCAAAGAAATCCAAGCAGCCCAGCACTGCCCTTCAACACCAAAACACAGCACAGAATCACACCATCACCACTGCCCCAGGAACAGCAAGAGCCTGCCTCATCCCCTCCTCCCTGAGCAGCCTCTGCAGGAAGCTGCAGCCAAAACCCAGAAAAAGCTCATTCTGCCTTAATGGAAGTGGTTACCTTGGGGTACAGCTGGATCCCTGGCCTGCTGAATGAGACTGGGGTTTTTGGGATGACTGATTCCCTGACTGCCATTGCTTTTTAAAGACTGCAGCCAGTGGTGAAGTTTCTTAAAGCTCAAGCTTTAAGAGAAAGGTTTTCCTTTCAGACACTTCCCTTAAAAAAAAAAAAAAAAAAAAAAAAGTCACTTTAAAACACCTGCATTGGTGCAAATCACCGTGATTGCTGGGCACTCGGCTGCCACTTGCAATTTCAGTGCAGTCCCGACTGTAAAAGCAGAAAGGTGTAAAAAGAGTGGGTCTTTTCACTAAATGTGTTCAAAATACAAAATCCCAGGAGGAGAATGCAGTGAAAAACACATCCACAGCACCAAGATTAGCTGCCACTGGGCACCTAGTTCACACAAGAGGCAGCATCCTGCTGCTCCCGAGCCCACTGGAGATAGAAAGGAGCTGCCTGGAGTGCTTTTAAAAATTACAGCTCCCAAACCAAGAGAAGGGAGAGTCAGGGAAAGGAGTCAGGAAAGCAGAGCAGAGAGAAATCCTAGCCAGCAGGAGTTAGCGCTCCCTGCACAGGGTTCTGCATCCAGGAACGTGCAGCCTTTCCCTGCAAGCCAGCAGGGGAATGTGCCTCGTCCAAGGGGCTCCTGCCCTGCACAGCTGAGGAGCAGTAAATAGTTAATTACATGGTACAGATCAGCACATTATGTGCAGCACGGCCCAATGCATCATTCACCGGGGCTCGGAGGAGAAAAGCGGCACAGGGGAAGGAAGGGAAGGAAGGAGAAATTTGCTCTGCCTCAAGGAGCACTTTGATTTTGTGGAAGATCAGCGTTAGGATGAGGGGCTGCGGTTTCCCTTTGGAGCACCTTAAATAAACACACCTTTACACAGCACCAACATCCCTCCGAGCTTTTGCTGCGGGTACACAGGTGACAAGCACAGCACAAATCTCTACCTGTTGCACTGAAATGCCAGGAGCAGCAAAGAAACCGAGGCACGCTGCATCCCATGGAAACAACCACACAACGCCAGCGCTCCCAACCCCACCACCGGCGAACCCAGAACACCCAACCCCAGCTCTTTGAAGGGGCACTTCTGGCCGCCTCCTCTTCCCTGCGGCTCAGCATTGGGAAGTGAGACTCTAAAGCAGCAATTAAAGCAATAATTAAACATCTGCAACAAAAGGCACGGACAGGAGACAGAACTCGCCTCGGTCCATCTCACCTAGCAAGCAGGGAATCTCCCACAAAGCAGGCTGAGTTCCACAGCATCACCACCTCACTGCTCCTGAGGCCAAGCGCCCTGGAATGATTTCTCTCTTTAATTTCCCTACTGCTGTCGCTAGGTAAGCCAGGCTGGAGCCTCGCCGGGCGCCAGGCAGAGCGGTGAATCCGCGGCGGAGGCGGCCGGGGCTGCACGCCCGCGCCCAGAGGGAATCCCGGGGAAGTTGTGTCGCGGCGGCCGCACTTACCCAGGACGAAGCAGAGGAAGCGCCGCGGGAGCAGGGCCATGGCCCCGCGGCAGGAGCGGCTCCGCTCCCGGGGCCGGGCGGGCTCCGCGCCCGCGGCGCTGCCAGAGGGGCGGGCCCGGCCCCGCCCGGCTCCTGCCCCGCTCCCGCCCCGCTCTCCCGGCGGCAGCGCGGGGTAGATGGGCGGGAAGCGCTCCCGTGGGGGCAGCGGGACGGAGGCCGGGCTCTCCTTATCGCCCTCTCGCAGCCCAAAGGCACGGCCAAGGGAGCGAACAGTTCCGAAGGAATGCACGGAGCAGTCCGGCTTCCTCACGCGCTTCCCGTAATCCCGCTCCCACCTCCACCGAGGGGGTTTCGCCCCAGCTAAAAACCTTGCCTTTCCCCTTTCTAGGGCTGAACGTACACATAGAACGCGATTTTGAGGAGAAATGTTTTGTGGATTCCGCTTTAATTTTTGTTGGGAGTGTAACATCGTTCCCGAGCTCCTAGAGCTCCACCTGCAGCTCGCTCCCGAGCTGTGCCGGAGCAGCAGAGCCTACCCGGGCTCCTCAGGTGCTCCGGATCAGGATACGGCCCTGGGAGCAGGGCAGGACTCTGCCTGCAGCGAGGTCACTGCCCTTGAAGTCAGCTCTCCCTTTCAAAGATCAATAAAAAAGGGAACGTGAAGGAACAGCAGAGTGTGCTAACTGGAGTCTTTCACATCGTGCACACTTCTGCTTTCCCAGGAGGAACAGAACAGCTCGCAGGCCAGAGAGCCAGTTCTGCCTGAACTATTACCACCTGCCTAAGCACAGAGCCGAGCTCGGGGAACAGAAACAGCAACAGCTGCTGGTGATGAGGCAGCAGAGCAAAACCGGGACTGCTTCCATCCTGACAGACCCGGAGACACCAAAGCTGAGGCTCACCTGCAGCACCAGCACCAAGGGCACAGCTCTGCCACGAACAGAGGCAGCAGAAGCGGTCTGCGAACAGCACAACACTGGCCCAACTCTTTTGAAGAACAAACTTTAACCTTTATTGATAGTAAACAAGGCTGTTTTTCCAACAGCAATTGCAGCAGGGTGTAGAACAAAGTACAACAAAGAGACTGAGTTACTATAGGTGAGCTCTGAGCAGAATCACCTTCTCTTAAATGTATTACATACTTGTTCCTCACTATGGAAAACGGGGATTCTTTTTCTCCCCGTTATTTACTAATGACTTGGCCATTTCGCACCTCCCTCATGATGAAAATAAACATTATAATAAGTCATCATCCCCCACACAAAACAACTTGAAAAAAATATTGTAATAGGAACAATTAGGACTGCAGAGCCCACACGCCAATAGAAAACAAAATAATCACTCCAAAAGGAAAGCACAACACATTTTGAGTCTGTTAAAACCTTACTGAATGAAAATGCTTCCAAGCATAGGCTTTTAACATTTTGGGGATGAGTTTCTGTCCCCATCTGCAATCCTGTGAAAGTCAGGCAGGAGATTAATATGAAGAATTTTCCTTTTTGCAGGAAACCTGGCAGTGGCACTGCTAAGAGGTACCTAAAGCAAGCACAGCACCAAGCTAAAGCAAGGATGGAGAGACACCTCCCTGGAATTCCGGGCTGTGGTTTCAGCACCTTCAGCTTGCTGCAGTGCCACACCACCGTGCAAAGGGATGGGTGTGAGAAAACGACAAGACACAGGCTGATTCTGTCAGGTTTCCAGCCCAGAGCTGGCCCCCAGACAGAAACCATCAGTGTCTGGATCCAGAACGGAGCCAGGGCTGGGATTTCTGGAAGAGAGGCTACACAAAGCCTGGCCGTTAGGTGTCAGCTGTGCACCGAACTCGGGGGACAGTGCCCTCCGCACAGCTCGTCAGAGAAGCAGTCCAGTTGGTGGAATCCAAAATACAGGGAGTTCTCAGAACTCTGGGCCTGTAAGCCAAAGCTTAGAATTAAACACAGGATTTGATCTGAGACCTTGGAAAAGGCTTCCAAACTTAGGTGACAGAAATGAGAATGTGGATTTATAGTTTAAACATGTTAAGAAGAGAAAAGTTTAGAGTTTTAAATAAAAGTAGTTACACAGGTAAACAAGGAGTTTAGAATGCAGCACTGTAGGTTTGTGTGCCATAACATGACTGGCTAAGAAAGCTTACACTGTAACAAGAGTCCGTAAGACAAAATATTTAAAAGTTGGGTCAAAAACATAAATATCCTTGTTAACTGTTTTATTGGTCCATAAAGCCTTAAAAAGTCTTATAACTAAAGGTCTTGTGACCTTCTGTACCATGCAGTAAAGATGTGAGCCAAACTCACCCTTCCTATCTAAACAGAAGAAAAATAAACTACATCCTGTAAAAACTCATAGAGGTCCCATCTCTAACTCATTCAAAATTCCTTCCAAGATCCCCAAATTCCATTAACCACCAGTTATACACAATGTAACCTGTTTTAGAGCTCCCAGTTCTTATACACCACTGCTGCAGTGGATTCACCCCAGTACCTCCTGCAGGGCTTTAGGCTGCATTAATCTAGTCAGGCTGTAGGGTGGGTCATTCCCTTAGGCTGGAATATTCACCTTTTTCAGTGCTTCTCCCGCTCAGAACACCTCCTCAGAATGTCAGAGGCCTTCTCCTCGATGGAACTGATGGCCAAGCCACTCAGGACACCTTTGTTCATTTTCCTCACCTCCTGCACAGCCCCCACAATTTCATTTCTGTGGGAATTGAGGAAATAACTGTTAACATCACATTTTGTGCCACACATTTAGCATTAGTTATTGGCATTTAGCACTTGGGTATTGGCTCCATTACAAATCAGGGCTGAAAAGAACCCCAAATATCCCACCTGCTAAACCCTGGATGCTTTTCTTGAAGTCTCTTTATTAATTTGGTAAAGCTGCTCAAGTTCAGTGCATAAGGAGAAACAAAGATACCAGATGGGTTCACAGAGGATGTCTTCTGCAGGGAATTTTCCCCAGGATCCTAGAATTGCATCAAAATAAGGAAAAAAAAAGCACGGGTTAAGGGTTGTACAGGTAATACAACACCTCTTTCCTATGAATAAATATAAAATCCTAAACCCACAGAACACTTTGGGTTGGAAGGCATCTTAAAGCTCATCTTATTCCTGCTTTATTCTAATAAAGTAAAATAATTGGATCTAATTTATTTTAAATTAGATCCAATTACCATTTCCCAAAGGAGCAGCATGTTTAAAGGGAAATCCCCAAAGACACAAAATCTGTGAACAACACCAGCAATTACTGATTTGCCCTTTACTCTCCAAGGACCAGGCTGAGCCCATACAAAACCCTCTGTTTGTATGTAGAGGTTTCTTAGATTTATGCGAGAAAATCCAAGAGTTTCTTTCCCATCCATTACCCCAAAATCTTTCCTCTATAAAGCCACATGACATTTACACTAAAAAAAGTGGTGTTACAAGATGAAAAACCTAGTGCAAATGGGGAAATTCCATATTGCCCTAGGACTAAGAAAAAACAGCTGGAGTGTCATAGTTTGAGACAGGGACAAAAGAATGGTGTTTTCACTCTTCTGCCACAAATTTATTACCAATGTGTAATGTATTTTCCTATCCTAACAAAATTTTCTATCTATTAAATGTTATGTGACAAGAAGATTTAAAGCTCTTAGTCTGCCACACAAAGGAGTGTTAGCAATAATTACCTCCCTTTTGATTATCTCCAAGTAAAGAATGTGCCAGCTGTTGAGTAGGGGATTTCAGATCAGGGCACTTGGTAGTAAATGTAGAGTATGAAAGAAGCCTTCAAGAGGCAAGAAATTCCTACTGCAAATTAAGAACAGACCTACCTCAGGCACTGAGGGCTTTGGGCCACCAACAGGAACAGAAGAATGTTCCTTCCCACTCCCCACTATCTTCACTTCTAACAATAAATGCAAGAAAGCAAAGAGTTACTAACTGTTCTTGAGCTGACACCTTTGTAGATTTTGGACAAGCCAGAGAGAAAACCTTAGAACAAACTAAGGGAAAGAAAAGAATCTTCTAAAAGAAAATGAGTGTCCTGAGAAGCACAGCAGTTCAGTTTGTGGAACATCCTTTCCCTGAGTGTTTCCTGAGGTTTTAAGAGGCAGAGAAAACACAGCTCTGTAGTAACAGTACCAGTGCTGAAGGCTGGTGCAGAGAATCCCCAAGCCTTCAACACCCTGGCACTCCTCACCTCACCCATCACTGTGACTCAAGTCTCCAAACACAAACCATTTGCATCTCACTCTGCAGAGTCCAGCATGGGAAGGAGGAGGAGAAAAAAGGAAAGATTGCCACCTATGTGATTGGCTGGGTATTTACAAATTTGAGTTCAAGCACCACAAGTGAAGCTTTCAAGGAAAAACAGGGATGGATGAAAACAGCTGAGTGCAATGATTCACTGCTAGAGAATGAGGAAGTCTGAAAACCCAACTGGCATTTATTCCAAGTTTGGAGAAGGAACAGAGCACTCCAATAATAAACACCATTATTTGGTTTATCAGCTTAAAGCACACAACTTTACCTCCTGAGTCCACCGAGTCTTGTTTTCCTTGTTGCTTTTTTATTTCTTTGCACATTATTGAAATATCTGCCACTGACAAGTCTTCCTTAGCATCAAACCAATACTCACTTCCTTCCTCATTTTTCACAAAGCCTTGGCAGTTGGGATAAAATTCAAGTGTTAAAGTTTAAATCGTGGTATGCTACATAAATGAATAGCAAAATTCTGTGCTGAAGAGGATTTCAGCTACTTACATCTCTTGGTGCTACATTTCAAAGAGGTAACACTACTAGTTTGGAATTCTAACTTAAGTAGAAATGTGTTTTTAAGATGTAAGTAATTAATATAGAGCTATTATTACTTATCAATAAATTTTGATAGCTGATACAGAACTTCACAGAAAGGGCAGCTGTGTTACCATATACAAGTTTTACACAGGGTTTCTTTCCTCCCCTGAGAACTCAGCTCACAAATAAAGAATTATTATTTTTTTAGGAGCAGATCACTCACCACGTTCCAGAGCCTGATCTTTAAGTTGCTCTTCCCACCTCTCAGGGGAAGCAGAGTCACCTGGCTGATCACCATCAGTCTGTGAGTTGTCCTACAAACACATTTCAGTTGTATCACAGCACTCCCACCTGGCTGTAAGTTATTTTTCAGAATACCAGCCCATGAAGCAGGTGAATTTTAAAAAGTTAATCTGCTGATCATCCCCAAGTTATTTTATTTTGAAAAGGCAATTAAAATGGTGAACATATGAGCTGCATTTGCAATCAGTGGCAGAGGATCCCAGGCTGAGAGCCCTGAAGACTCTGATCACATTTGCAGGTACCCAAGGGGAAAATACTTCTCAAGGTTACCATCTCCAAAACCCAGGAGTGAAGAATTCCCTACCATATTGACAGAAATCCCGTTTTCTTGCTGTTTTGGTTCTTCAAAGTCAGCTTTCCCTTCACCTGAAAGATCACTAAAACACAGCCAAGAATTTCATACAAAATATGGGACAACAATTTTAAGTTCTACAGTAATTTAAATATTTCCAGAAGCTCACAGTAAAACTAACATAAGAAATTTTGGCTTTTTTTATTATATCTTAATAGTTTCCTGTGTGATGTTTGGATGTATTCCTTACAATCTGAAATACCTGTGCAACTTTGACTAAGAAATTTTTTATAAAACAAAACCATTAGCTTTACCTTTTCTTAATTAACTTCACTCATGCTTAACAGGAAACTTCAAGCAGTCTCTAGCAGTCAACCCAATTCAGTAAAAACTTACTGCCAAATTTGTTTTCCACTTACAGAAAGTCACTGGATGGGGTTCCTGAACGTGTTCTATCAGGTTCCTGCCTGAAAAAAGAAGTTGTTTTTCTATCACTCTTCATATCTGAATGATAATCTTAGCAAAACAGCTTCATATAATCTTTTAATGTTATCTACGTGCTTAATATTATCCCTGCTGGCAGCAAAGTCTTTTTGGGTTTTTGTGGTGTGGGATTTTTTGGGGTTTTTTTGTTGCTTAGTGCCATTATAACTGGAGACAAAGATTTTTAGCAGCGAAAGCAGGGAACCAGGAAAATAACCTGTAAATTGATAACTTTTACTATAAAGATAGTAAAGACACTCCCTGCTTTCCATACTAGAACACCACAGAGGAAAAATGCCCTTAAAATATAACCATTGTACCCACAGGGCAATGCTGATCTTTCAGCTAAACAGCCTGAAACAACAAGATGCATCCTGAAATAAAGAAATTATAGGTTTAACATCTTAGAAACTCATTCCTCAGTTAACTTAGTAAGTACAACAACAAATGAAAACTACTTACTCAGAGTAAAGACTCTTTCTGAAATACTGTAAAAAAAAAAAAGAGAAAGATTTATCTATAATTATCTTAATAATAAAAGAATTTATATTAAAGACATAAAACAGTTAAGAAATTACCTTGGAGGGGATGTACAAGGAGGAGAGTGGAGAAAACTTCAGCTCAACTGACAGTGGTGGAAGTTCATTTAAAGGCATGCCCATGTTTATTTCCTTTCTGATATTGCTGTAATTATTGTCCAGTTCATCCAAAACCAACTGCAGAGATGAATATAACTCAGCCTTTTTCTCGCAGCTGTTAAAATATGGGTAAGAAAGCAACACCAATTTAGACATTTCACTGATTTTACAGCTTCTGGAAACACCCCAAGATTTTACAGGATTTAAAGATTCCTTTACATTATACTATATAGAACATGAATTGACAACTGTATTGTGCATCGCTTGAGTTTTATTCCTGGAAAAAAAGGCAGGATTTTGGGACTGTGAATACTACAAAAAACCAAAAAAAAACCCCCCCAAAAACCCCAAACAAACAAACAAAAAAAGGCTTGAAATAAGACTTAGGGGTCCTCTGGACAGCACCACTTTATAATTATAAACACCCCTAGAAGCTATGGATAGAATCTACCAGTACCATTCAGCAATTTTTGCCTGATCACCAGTTACCCATTTTATTTTAAAGGACATTAAAGCACATGCCTCCCAAGACAGGTGTTTTCCTCCAAAGCCAGCTCATACACCTTCAAGCAGTGCTGGTAGCACATCTCGTAATGGATGGCCAGGAGCTGCAGCTCTGCTTCAGTCGCTCTCTGCAGGACATCCTGACAGCAGCTTGATGCAGAAATCTTCCCAGTTTGCTTGTTGGGATGTTCTGGCCTTTAAAATAACAATAACAGAATATTTATTCCAGGGCTTGAATATTTTGTTTACGTTGGTGGTGTTTTATTTTGAAGCAAGGAGGTTGCCAGAAGCTATTTCTGACATGATTTAAGGAAAATCCTGTTTAGCCCACAATAATGACTGTAGCATTACAGTCAGTTTTATCAGAGAGGTGAGAACTGCACAAGAACCATCACAGTTTTTACCCAAAAAGTGAAGCCTTAAGAACAGCAAGAAACTTGGCAATGCTGTAGATCTGCAAACACACTAATTTTGTTTCCACAGCCATGGAATAGTTTAGGTTGGAAAGGATCTCTGGAGGTCTGCAACTGCAGAACAAGGCTGCTTTGGTCTTTGTTCAGCTTCAGGGAGTCTCAGCTCACTCTTCTCACCTGTCCAGGAAGAAACTTTCCAGCAGAAACTGCTGCCCAGCGAACTTTTAATATCATCAGTTTTGCCAAGCCACCGACCTTCAATCATGAAAAAACCTCTGATCCAGAATCTCAAATTCCAAAACCAAGAACAACTTCTGACCCACCTGTCAGTGCCTGTCATCCAGTCACAGACAGACAGATGATCTTTGGATTCCTGCTTTTCAAAAAGAAAAAAAAAAAGGTGAAAACTTACAGATTAACACCCATGCAGACAAGTTAAAATTAACAGAAGTTCTATCAAACTGGTCTGGGGGCCCTTCTTGTTTTGTGTCAATTACCTGCAGGTGTGAGCTGAGAGCTCCTAAGGACCACTCCGTGTTGGAAGCAGCATCCACGGCGGTTTGAGCCACAGGCTGAGGTTTGCTCATCGTGGTTACCTCTGTGCTCACTGCCCTGGAGCAGACAGAGACCTGGGCACTGCTGCTTCTGCTCGCTGGGATGGCAGCTCTGGGATCAGAGCCAGCATCCACAACGACACCGGGAACGCTCCTCGGGGCTTCAGCACGCTCCGACTTCCCAGCCCTGGGGCTCCCACCAGAGGATTTATCTGCAGCTTCCGTGCCAGCAGCAGGATTCTTGCTAGGGAGGATTTCAGGGACTGGGGGCTGGCTTTCAGCATCCTCTGCAGTGCTGCTGGCACCACGAGCGCACACGGCAGGTTTTTCACAGCTGCTGCAGCAGTGGGGCTCTGCGTGCTTGCAGAGCCGGGCCTCTTCCCTGGGCGGCAGGAAAGGAACGTCCGGCTCCACTGCCACGCTGCGGGTGGCTCTTTGGCTCTTTCCAGAATCTTCTTCCCCTGCTGTGATTTGGGGTGGCACCTTGTCACCAACGAGTGGCATGGCCTTCGCCTCTCCAACCTCGCCCTGCTCAGAAAACTCACTCGAGTTGCTCCTGTCCTCCTCGTACTCCTCGTGAGCACTGAGATACTCCAGCTGCGAGTCTTCCCCTACATCTGCACCCAGGCAGGAGGTCTGAGTGAAGCAGCTCCTTCTGCTGCTCCTTTCCACTTCCATGGCGCCAGCACGCTCTCCTCCTCCTCAGGAATCCACAATACTCACTGCCACTGCAACCTCTCAAAGTCACTGGTGTGGCTCTTCCTACCTTAATAAAAATGAAGAGTTGTTCAAGATGCTCCATAGTATACGGAAGGACAAAAAATACACTAAATTAACCATCCTATTTTCACCTTCTACAGCAGGTAGGAATTCTACAGCATGTTCCTAAAGAAATCCCAAGAGCTGATTTCTGAATTGGTGGAATCCCTGTGACATCATACAGCACACAAAGTGTTCAAATAAACGTTACTTATAGCAAGGAAGAGGTGAACTTTGAGCTCTGTGCCTCCCAAAAACTAAAGCCCCTTGGGTGTTGGACAAGGGGGAAATCAGAGCACATTCCTCTTAATTCTGGGGAAGCAAGAAAAAACTTACCAGGGACAAACCCCTAAGAAAACCTGAGAATCTTTACAATCAGAAAGTTGTAAAGGAACACAGGAAGGTCATTTAGCAATAGAAGGAAGCCGGACAATTCACCAGACTAAAGCAATACACCTGCTCTGAACTTGCAGCAAACCCAGTTTGGTAACAAACACCAACAAAAAGCAGAGAGAAAGCATGTAGGGATAGAAGACACTCTTTGTGAAGCTTGTTTGTTAGAAATATTGTCAATTCCTCTCTGCCTTCCCTCAGAAGCTTCCAACAAAGAAAGGAATACATACAAACACTATCCATATTTCTCAATAATGTCTGCTTTCTAAACTGTGACATGACACATCCCAATTCCAGTCACTGTCTCTGACAGTCCTTCCCCAGGGGCTGGGGTGGGGGAGGGGAAATAAGGATTAATATTCAAATGTTCAAATAGTCAAGCCTTACACTATCCCAGGTTGCTCCAAGCCCCATCCTACCTGGTCTTGAACACTTCCACAGTTTAATTATACACTTCTACAGTTATTTTTGCTCCAAAAACGTTGTCCTTTTTTACTACATTAACTTTTCTTTCACCCCCTAACTGAAACCTCGAGCAACTCCGTGCAATTAAAAATGCCAAACGCTGCCAAAGCACATCCCAGATGCCTGTACAGAAACCACAACATTACTGTCACATAGAAGCGACTTTTCCCTTGAGAACAGGAACCAAAACACCTCCACGGCCCAGCCAAGGTACAATAACCCCCCTGTCGCTGCTAGTGACACAACCAAACCCTGAACCACAGCCGAGCCGCAGCTCTGGCTGAGTGCGGGGGAGCCCTGAGGGCAGCCCGGTACTCCCGCTCGCCCGCGGGGAACCCTCAGGCCGGAGAAGGGCGTCTCACCGCAGCTCCAGGGCAGGCTGAGGCGCGGTCCCACCGCCCGCACCAAGCCCCGGGCCCGCTCCGCTCACCGCCCGCACCAAGCCCTCACGACCCCGCCACACGCGCTCCCAAAGCCCGCCGGTGCGCCCCGCGCTCATTGGCTGCGGCGCGCAGCGCTCCGATGCCTGATTGGCCGGCGGGGAGCCCGCTCTCGCCGCGTGCAGCTCCTCCCCGCTGCCCTCAGAAAGTGGGGCCGTCGCGTCCCTTCAGAATCGGTGCTGTCGTGTTCCCTCAGACCCGGTACCGCCATAACCTCCCTGAATCCCCGGTACTGCCATAACGCCCCCCGAATCCCCGGTACCGCTGCATCCCTTCAAAGGCAGGGCCGCCGTGTCCCCTCAGAGCCGGTGTCGCCATATCCCTTCAGGAGCAGTACCGCCGTATCCCCTCACAGACCCTTTTCTCCCCTCACGGTCTCTTTCCCCTCACGGTCGCTTCTCTCCCCTCACGGTCCCTTTTCTCCCTTCACGGAGCCTTCTCTCCCCTCACGGTCCTTATGTCCCCTCACGGACCCTTCTATCCCTCCATGGTCCCTTCCCTTCTCTCCTCTCACGGTCTCTTCTCTCCCCTCACAGACCCTTCTCTCCCTCCATGGTGCCTTCTGTCCCTCCATGGTGGCTTCTCTCCCCTCACGGTCCCTTCTGTCCCCTCACAGTCCCTTTTCTCCCCTCACAGACCCTTCTCTCCCTCCATGGTTGGTCCCTTCTCTCCCTCCATGGTGGCTTCTCTCCCCTCACGGTCCCTTCTGTCCCCTCACGGTCCCTTTTCTCCCCTCACGTCTCTCCCGCCGCCGAGCACTGACAGACAAAGCACAGCCGGCAGGGAGGGAGCGCAGCAGCTCTTGTACGGCTACTACAGAATCACAGAATTATCCTGTGCTGCAAGGATCATGGAGCCCAATCCCCGGCCCTGCACAGGACACCCCACTAATCCCAAACTCTGGGAGCATTGACCAAACTCTGGCAGCTCCCTGAACTCTGCTTTGGGGCTGTGACTATTGGCTGGGGAGCCTGTTCAGTGCCCAACCCACCCTTTGAGGGAAGAACATCCATCTAATATCCAGCTCTAACCTCCTCTGGCACACATTAAACCTACCTGAAAGTTTCCAGCGTGAAGGAGCGTGTTAGAGGAGCACAGACAAACCTACCTGCCACACAGGTCAATGTTACTTGTGCAAGGGGCCCTGCTTCTTCATTTAAACACGCATAAAGGTCATAATGAAGTGTGTAAAACATCACTCAGTTGCCTAAAATTAACCTTCAGAGACATACAATGGTTTAGAGCACCTAAAGTGAAGACAAGCACTACACTCCTGCCTAGTCTCTTTCATGTAAGTGACAGCTTTGGCAACACATCAGGGCAAGAGGACATTTAATACTAAAATAACATATTTTTAATGAACCAAGCTGCCTCCTGTTGTGAAGGAGTTTTCATGAAGGATTCTTCCAGGAAAAGCTACTGTGTGGGTTACCTCTATGTTCACCATAAATAAAAGTGGAGAATGAATCCAATTAGCAACACCATTGAAATTTCTCCTGATGGGGGACTGTCTCTGTCCTCCCCCTCCCCAAGAGCACTTGGCCATTAAAATATCAAAATTTGGAGGTGCATGTGCATCCTGCCACTAAAAATGTTGCTATTTGGAGGTATGTCTCACACCAGGGCCCTCAGTCACACAAGCCCCTGAATTTGTGCATTTCCCAAGCAGTGTTGCTCATGTTCTGTGTGATCCTGCAGCAACATGTTGAGAAGGAAAATGAGCTCTTACACCCATATCGCCCTGAATTTTCTGTATTTTCCAAGAGAACTTGTACTGGTAACATCAGCATGGACAGACCACTCCATAAAAACTACCCAAACAAGTGACATTTTATTGGCGAGTTCTGCTCATAATGAATTTCCTTTTCCACGCTCACATCTCCTAACAGAGCGACTGGGGGAGGGGGAAAAAAAAAAACCCAACCAAAACAAAACCAAAACCAAAACCATTTTGGGTAACATTCCATTTACAAGCGATAAAAACCATGTAACATTTAAAAATCAAACAGAGGATAACAAATTGAAACAGAAGTTGTAGGAAAACCCATCCTGGTTCCCCCAGGAGCTGTTCCTCGCCCGGCTGCCGCCACCTCGGCACCACTCTCAGGGTACCGAGGTGCTCTCGTTTGGAGCTCAAATAATTGGACTGGGACATGTGCTATGATCACCATTCAAAGCCCTGTTGTTGTACATTCTTCATAGAAAAAACAGAGAACAGTTTGCAGTAAACCAACCAGTTCTTTTTCTTCCCTTATTCTAACGCTAAGTCATACTGAAAGTTAGGGGAGGGGGGGAAATGTGGCTTCAACATTCACCTACTTTATCACACACAAAGGTTTCTACTAAGAGCATATCCAGGTTGAAATACACATCTGATTTCCGTCATGAGGTTGATGCTTATGGGGTGCGAGATGAAATCTACTTCAAAATGATAAACACATCCCTTTTTTATGAACAAAGTGTTATTTTTTGCCTTTTGGACCAACGCTCGGTTGCTGGGTCGTTTCCCCTGAGCCTTGCCAGGAGAGGCAGCTTTCACTGCTGCCACAAATGAAATGATGACTGGTGGCAATCACACACTTTACCATCGGTAAGATGTCGTATTTAGCACATTTGTTTGCATTCTGAAAATCCCTTTGCTAGTTTTTTTTAGGCCCCCGAGGCTTTGTACACCAGAAATTACACAAGTCATGCACAGAAAATTGTAAATTGGTATCCACAGCCATTTTGAGGTATTCCACAAGAAACCTGGCTCTGCACCTGAATGTTCCTCTCAAAAACAATGAAAACAAACCCAAAAACCCCAAGCCCTAACTGGAGTGGAAATTTAATTTTAAAAGATTCCTTCCAACCCCACTTCACCACATTTCATCAACGAGGACATAATTCCCCAGGGGCACAAAAAAAGCTTTCTTCATCCTTTTCCTGGAATAATAATTTCAGTACTTCATTCCTAAATTTTCCTTGTGCACTTGGAAGAGATGAAGACGAGGGTGTTGCTTCCTAGCCAAACCAGAGGAACACATTCAGACAGCGGATTTGGTTTACTTCATTTGTGAAGGTGCTCGAGGAAGATACCAGCGATCCCCTTGCGTTGGAAATAGCAGCGGTTCCTGCTCTAACCTCCCGTCTGCGAGGAGGAGGCTGGGCAAAGACCTGGATTGCAGGGTCTGAAGACCACGTTAGGAAGAAATGTGATCTCCTGGGCGTGGATTTGGCTTGGTAGAACCTCTTGAGGCAGCCACGGCCGCTCCCGTGGGACAGGAGACGCTGCTCCACCGCGTGAGCAGATGGCAGAGGGACTGGCTTCCTGTTAGGGCTGAGGTGGGACGGGCAGCTTTGTTCCTGGGGCAGCTGCTGCTCTCCTTTGAGAGTACATTCAGAATGAGTTCCGATGAGCCAGAGCTGTAGTGCCAGTGGTGTGCCCTTTTTACACACGCAAGAATGGCCTGCAACGTCTCAGCGGGTTACGCTGTTCTGCGTGAGAAGTGGAAAACCTCCGCGGCGATCTCAGAAGGGAAGAACTCGCTACTTCCGTAGCTGTAGAAAACCCATAGGCAGTAATATTTTCTAAAGTGCTTCTTTACTTAGCAGTTATTCCTTTAAAAATCAGACTTGTAT